GTATCAGCAGGACTTGTAAACTAATTAGGTTGGGCTGCACAACTGAAAATATTAAACTAATTCAGACTGAGCTCTCACTTCAAGGCCATAAAAAGGCAGAAAAGTTATTGAGGGAAAATCACATTTGTTCCTTTTCATGTGAAGGACTTCAAGTCCATAGAACGTCAAGTGACAAGATGAATGTTGTCTTTCCGTCAACTAACTATAGTTTAAGTGGCAGTTGAGACGATAGAGGGGTTTTTGCCTCCTGATGACTAAATTCAAGGTTTACTTATAGTGACAAAACTCCCAGTGTGATTATATTGCAGCCACTGAAATCAGTCTGGATTTCTTTCGTGATAAATGGCAAGCAGGAACAGTATGACCTGTACCTGTTCCCATCCCAGGCCTCAAGATGCTGTGGAACTGAGTTGGTGTGGTGGCTGGCGAGCATTGGTAATCACTCACCCTCTTTGTGCCCTGCCCTGCATCAAGTGCAGCCTTGTCCTCACCACTGGAGACAGTCTGGTATTGCATCAGAAAACAGTGAATCTGAACTGCAGCAATTAGCTCTTTTTATTTTCCGAAAAGCAGATTTAATCTTGGGAGATTTTTCTCTCTTCCTCCCTTGGTGCTCCTTCTGACTTCTCAAAATGCCGATAATTAAAGTATAATCGCTATCACGGCCTTCCTATTATCGTTCCCTGAGTATGCCCATGTTTAATCCTTCCGTTCTTTGAGAGAGGGTGTCTACCTACTCTTGAGCTTTCTCTGACCTGTGCCAAGGATAAATGCATCTCTCGCTCAGCCTTTCTGCCACGCTTTACCTTTCTCATCTGCTGGACAGGAAGAAAATTGGAAAAGCTTCAAAAAAGTGTGGGTGTTTCATATTGCTAAGGTCAAGTGCTAGACATTATCAAAGTGACTGGCATTTGGATGTGGTGTTGCATCTCAGACAGCTACGCTGGGGTCTGCTGCTGATTATATAACTCATGTATGCAGCAAGATTGGCTTTTTGTTCACCCTTTTTTGTTTTATAAGTTAGAATTAAAAGGATATTTTATACAACAAATTCTTAAATTTACATAATATTACATTAAAAGTTAGTTTATAAAAATATAAGATGTATATATATGTATTTGAAAATGAGTAATCTTGTGATTAAAAAATTTTTTATAATTAAGCAATGATAATACATAATAGAAATTAATCAGCAAATAAGAAAACAAGTTGTAAAGAATAACAACAACAGTAGAAATTTAATAACGAATAAAGATAAAACTAGAATTTTTGGATGGTGTGATGAGATTGACTTTAAAGATGTTATTGTTTGGTTTGATTAATTTTTTTTTTTTTTGGAAGAGATTATTTTTATTTATGACAACTCTTCAGTGGACAAAATTTTACATTTTGTATGACATAGAGTCAAATTATTTTTCTCTTCTCATTAGGATGTTTAGATGGTTAAGTTTCTGGCAAATTATTAGTCAATTAAATTTTACAGTGGGGGCATCTGTGTCTATTGTGACTTGTAGTACTAAACATGAAATTATAATAACCTGGGAAAACAAGAACTTGGTATACCTTTAAACTTTTTGATACCTCACAGGCTTTCAAGCTATCACACACTCACACTTTCTCACTTCATTCACTTCCTTTCACTCACACAAACACACACTTGAATTTACTTTGCAAGGGTGATAAGTGAAATTTGATAAACTACAAATTATAATATTCATTTTTGTACGAAAACCCAAGACATGCATGTTTTTAAAGTAACTGTATGTTTATAAGACTAAAAAGTGTAACAAAAACAACAAAAAAATTGTTAAAGACAAAAGATAAAAGAAGTAGTTATAGACATCTCTATTCCCCCTTTTCTCTTTATAAAAGGGAGTGGAATATGAAACAATGTTTGGCAAAATGTTAGTAAGAGATGCTAATAAGATGTTATATTTTATCTTTGTTTTAGGTAATGTTTTATGAACTTGTTCTAGTGTTATTATGTTTAAGGACTTTAGTATAAGTATAGAAAGTAAGGATTAAATAATAAAATCAGAAGTAAAGTCCTTATACAAAAATGATTACTTACATATAAAGTAATACACAAGAAATGAGTACTTAAATGTATAAAATTATATAATTAAAAATCAGTATTTGCTGTGCAATTCATTACTGTTGTAATATGAATGTGCTGTTATTTTTCGAATGTCGACGTTGTTCTCCTTCCTGTATATAAAAAACTCAACAAAGGCGGTATTAACAAAATATATGAAACATAATTATTATTAAAGTTAAACTTAAAAGAGTAGCTGCAAAATTATAGTGTAGTCATGACTGCATTTTGAGTACTCAAATTATTAGCATGCTTCAAAAAATAGTCTATAGGTAAAACTATTTACAAACATTACGACCCTTCACTGCTATTTTCAGAGGTAGATGTTTTTTGTTGCCTGCGCATTAAGTCGTGGTTGAACGAGGAGTTTGTTGCCGAGTTTTATGACGCCTCCTTTTCTTTTGTGTAGTGTGACCGTTACGATGACATACAGTCACAGTGTCTATTAAAGATGTTTCTTCATCATCTTTACCCCTTTCAGTTGGTAAATTAGGGGTTTGATTGAAGAGCAATGGCTTGTAACTGAGGATTTAAATTGGAACGTATATCTGTTGTTAAAGCAGAGTTAGTGTGCCAGTTAGTGATTTCTTGCGAAGGCCTTGCTGCGTCGGCAGATGTCTGCTGGGCGGCGCCATTTTGTCGGATGTTTGCGTTATGGATGGCGGCCATTTTGAAGCTCGGGGGTTTCCGGGGTAAAGGTGATGACGTTAGTCGCGGAGGAGGGGAAAGGTGACGTGTAGGTAGGTGGGTACGCGCCTTCCCGCGCTTGATCTCTCGCGCCACTCCCTCTGCTGTCATCTGGCCCGCAAAATTCTTCCCGCCGCCTTCATCGTCGCCATTTTGCGTGCAGTGGTTTTCGCCCTCAGTGCTGCCCGCCATTTTAGGTGGTTGTGCCGTGAGGCGTACCTGTGAGGGACCTCCGCCATTTTGAGAGTGGTTATATGCAGCAGAGACTCCAGCACCGTTTTGCAAATTGCTATCATTGAGAACAGTCACATTTATTTAATTGCTTCTGGTACAATTCTGCGGTTGTTTTTAGGGTCTCTTCCCTTTGTACCATTTGTTTCACAGTCTTTTTAAGTATTATGAAGACTGTGGTCCAAGCTTGCAAAGCTTTCACCGCATGACTGTCCCCAGCAATAATAGCATTTGTTAGTGCAGATCCGATTTTTGCCCATTCCAAGTATATTATGATCTCTGGAACCGGGTTTGTGTTTTTATGAATCCATTTTACGAAAACTTTCAGAGAGCTTTTGTTTAAAGGATAACTTTTTCTTCTGATTAAGTTCTTCAAATATTCGTACATTTTAAGTTCCCTTCCCTTGAAGGGCTAGCTCCCATTTTTGTACTTTCTATTTTTCTAGTTTTTGTTGTAGTTTTTCGATTTTTCTGTGTTTTTCTTTTTTAGTGTGGGGTATTGGAGACGGGGTAGGAGGGCAGGGAATGCCCCAGACGCTCACCTCTCCTGACGAAATGCCTGCTAAAGGTTACTGAGTTCTTGCCATAAAATTCTAGCAATCACATATATTCTGTTCTAAATGTGTCTCTGTCCGGAAATCAGTAGTGGCTTCAATAAGTTTATTGAAACTTACTTAGCTGAGAAGACAGAAAGTACAATGGCAACTAAATAGCTGTGATCCAATAGGGATATTTATATTGAAATTTACTCATAATCTCACTCTACTCAGTACCTTTTATCCCATTTAGATAGTCTAGAAGAAACAAAATGATTATGGCAGAAAGTCAAGTGCAGCAGAGCCCATTATTTTATAATTATGTCTAAATTCTACCTGTATGTTTTTGATCTAGGCCTCATTTGTGTCTTAACCTGACAGTTGTGTTGTTTAATCCCTGCTAGCTGGGCTGCAGTGCCCTCTTACATTGCACTCTCTGGGGGCAGAGACCAGCTTGCTTTTTAAGTTAAGCTCGACTACACAATTATTTAATATACCGAGCAATGAGTCACAGCTGAGTGGGACTTCAGTTACTCTTTCCTGACAGAAATTGGAATTTCACTGCATAAATGCCTTTTTTTCTTTTTTGGCTGACAACTGAATGGCAAGAGTGGCGAGGAGCTGCTGCTTCCTGGGGGCAGAGCAGCATTTGGTTTGACTCCAGAGTCAATGGGAGGCAGTACTAGCAGCACCACCTCCCTGCTGAACTTGGAGCCTGACACCCGAGGGCGCATCTCCCCTGCCCTGTTCGGGGTCTCAGCTGTGAAAACTGCTGATGGTGGGTTTCTGCTGATGCCCCAGACACTGGCTCAGAGGCATTCTTGCTTTCTCCAGTTCTGATCACAGCCAGAGGGCAGCTTGGGTCCTAATTTGCAGAACAGCAGCTCACCAATAAACTTGCTGAACCAAAGACTGACATTAAAACCTAAACTGTGGAGTACAAACAGTCATCTATCAATTTTTAATTTCTTTTGTTTTGTCAGATCACCCTCAATGCTTATTGTTATCAGAATTCACAGCTAGTTTTTGTGCAGGGTATTAGTAATCTCTCAGAAGTCCTTCTTTTATGTATGCAATTAGCTTTCTGGAACAAGATTTTTCTACACAAGTAATAGAGGTTATAAAGATGGAAGTTGTTTTAAGAGTTGATAGCTACATTTCCATCCTTACCCTGATTAATAAGTAGTTCCTTTTTGGGTGATGAACTGCTATGTTCGAATTGCAGTATTTTTTCATCATTCTTTTTTCTAAGGAAAAGATTCCAGGAAGGAATGACTTAGGCCCATAATGGTTAAATGATTACCTAGACAAAAACACTGTTTTGATCCCTGGTCCTTAATTGATTCTTAGTTGGAAAACTAAGATTCTGCAAAAAAAAGACAGTTAGTAAACAATTTCTCTGTTCGAGAGTTGTTGGAGACTACCCTTTCTCACCATTATTTGTCTTCCAGCAGATTTTTAAAAGCATCACCAATGAAGACTCAATCCAGGGACAAGGAAGTCGGAGACTGATAAGTTTTTCATTGTCAGGTAAGTCAGTGCTGATGGGAAAGTTTTAAGCCCAAAGAGTTGGAGACTGGAGTTTTTAAAACCTTTCATGTGTGGTAGTTATGTGTATGTGTATATTTATATATGGGTTTTTATCTGCTGCTCTAGAAGTGATGCTGAGACAGAGAATTAACATCTGTGGTTATTGCCACACTCTCTTCTTTCAGTGAGAGTTGTGCACTGAAGTGTCTTGTTCAAGTGGAGTTTTGGGGCCAGATTAGGTTTTTCTGTTCACAATTAAATATGTAGGTCAGGGAAAGCAAGATCAAAGGCATGTGCTTTACTTGGAGAGTACAGTGTGGTTTGTGGTAGTAAAGAGTTACCCTAGGTCAAAAGTTTTACAAGCATAGGCCTTTCTGTGTAAAGTCCTACACTTAGACAAGTTATCTCATTATATGATTAGTCTTGACCATATGATTTATTTCAAGGTTCCTTCTACTAAGCACACAAGTTAGTGTGCAAATAAGGTATCCAGTGTGGTTCTTGAGAGGCTGTATATGGCAAGTTACACTGGTATTAGGTGGGGCTGTTTTAACACATCACATATTTTTGTGGCATCCGCCCATTTGTCAATAAAACCATGGGTTTAGCTCAAGAGAAATACAGAAGTAGAGTTACATGTTTTAATGTTCTTTATTAATCTTATACAGGTATTTGAAAGGCTTTGATAAAGAAATTTGGCAATTATTTCACCAAAATCTGTGCTATCAAAATAGTTCCATTTCAGTCTTTCTGAAATTAACAGATTAACATATCACAAGGATTTATTTATTACCTTCTCAGTCAATACCACAACAACAAAATGTTTTCTCACTCAAAGCAAAGTTGTTGCTATTCCTATATCTGTTATGCTGACTAATAGAATACAAATCAATCCAGACCTTCCAGAGGCATCATCAGGAACTGGGATTCCTTTCCATTTGCACTACTGTCTCAGCAATAACTTCTCTACTGACTTGTATAGACTTTTCCTTTTCACTGTCTATACTGTGGTATATTGTCATCTTCAGTATCATTACTTAAAAGCTATTTTTCCAAATTACGGTTGATTTAATGGCAATTAGAAAAAAAGTGTCAGACCATCAGTGTGACTGGGGACCATTGCATGAAGGGCTGCACCACCACAGGGCCATCATGCCTTAAGCAGTCTGTCATGTAAAGAATGCAAAAAGAGAGCTATGTCTTCCACCATATCACTTTTTAAAGAAAAAAACTATTAGAATGGGAGAGAAAAATGTTGAAGTAGGCCAAATTCCATGAAATGCTGAACAACATCAGTGCATTTCAGCAGACTTTTATTGCTTGCTGTACTGCCAAGGCTCCAGTCAGACCCTATATGGAAATGAACTGTGCAGGAACAGGTGGTTTTTTTTCTAAAAACTTGGTGACAAAATGCTGTCTTCTTTCTGAAAGTGCTTCTTTATAGAGTATTTGGTTGGACAAAATCCAACTGGTTTCATGGGAGGTTTTGCTTGAGAAAAGATTTCTGGATTGAATAAAAATATGAAATAATGAAACAAGTGTAAAACAATCCTTTAAGGCCCAAGAAGATGGCTAACTTCTTGAGAATGGAAATAGCAGAGAGTTCACATTATATCACTAGGAGGGATTTTTCCTTCATGTTTCCTGCTTTGGAGACTGGAAGTTTGTCCTGTGAAGGGTTAGTTCAGAGTAATATGTTCACTAGCAACACTGATCTCAAAGAAGCTAAATTCCTGCAATTAAGTACTTTTTATGATGACAGTATTATTGTAGCTTTCATTATTTAAAATACCAAGAGAAGTACTTTAAGTCTAGATTGAAAAAAAAAAAAAAGTCTTTATGGAAAGCTATGCAGTCCACTTTGCATTTATTTTTCTACATGCCTTTTCTGCTATCAGTGAATGTCACACTTCTGATAAGGTGGCTGAAAGTGTCAGAGCTCTCTTGCATGAAGTATGGAAAGAAGAAATGTGCTAAGCTCCCTGAGATGTGTGAGCTACTTCACTGAAGGTTCATGGTTCAGCAGTGTAACAAATTTGCTGAAAGCCCTTAAAACCAGTCTTGTTGGCTGGTATATTTGGAAAGTGTTATCATGAGGTTTGCATGATATGCCTCCTAGCTCTATGTAAGTTTTTTTCAGGCTTTAATATTTCACATATCTCATGTGTTTGCACACTTTATTTATAAGTGTTCTTGTAGAAAAAGTGACCAGAAGATTTGAATATCCCACAAAGATTCAGGCATTTATCCTCTTCACACCACTCTGAGAATGCTGTTAGTTGTTTCTGTGTGTCTTTCAGATCAGGTATTCAGGTAGTATCAGTTGTCAGTTTAAAGAAGTCAGAGTATAAATTATAACTGAAAATAGTATAAGGTCCACTAAGGGTCATTATGACAGTAGTTGTTACCATGAAATGTTTGTTCAGAATGCAGATATATAATGCACTTTATCTTCCAACAATTTTTTGAAATCCTAGTGACTGATTTTATAACAGGAGTTCTAGCCACTAAATTTTGTTTAATAGTGTTATGAACCTGCTGCCTCTTCTGCCTTCTCCAGCTCAAGCCAACTTGCCCAGATGTAATCTCAATAAACCTGACAAACTAACCCCTTGACTTTTTCTTACCTGTTGGATCTTGTGTGAAGGTGAGGTGACTTTCTGCCACTCCCAGTACACCTGTGCCTGCAAAGTAGTGCTGTGCTCCAGGCTAAGTTTGAAAGGCATTAAAAGGCTTCGAATTCAGCCACTCTGTTATCCTGTTTAACACAGGCCACCTTGCTCCATGGTGTGGAGCTTTGGGCGAGTTTGGCTCAGACATATCTTACACACAGGCTGTAGTCTGGAGCTGAGGATACCGTGAGATGGTGCTTTGTTCCAGTGGTTAACCGCTTGCAGGGATTAAAAACTCCCACTTGCTGTGATAAGCTGTTCACTTTAGCTGTTCAGACTTTTTCTGTTTTCCTTCTTGATGTAGACAATTAAAAATGGAGCCTGTCTTTCAGCCATTTTTGAATAATTAATTTCTCTACTCCTTTTCGTTTATTAATAGACCTGTTTTCTTTCTAATACCTCTGCTGCCCTTTCCTTACAAAGATGAGAATCCTTCTGTTTTTGTTTGTAGCATTTACAGCTAAAAGAAAATATTTTCTCTTTTTCTACTGTCTTTAATATTTTGCCTGCCAGCCCTGTGACAGAAATGTTTTGGTTTATCGATCCACTTAATCTTTTTTTTTTTATTAAATCTCAGACCATTAAACACCTCCTTGTGCAACTACACCAGCCTTTTTTTTTTTTACATTCTATTTTAAAAGGAAAGTGAAATCTGTCAGTAGATCTGTAGATTTCTGAGAGTAGGAAGGACTTTAATTATCTGATTTAACCTCTTGCATATCACCAATTGCAGAATCTCATTCAGTAACTGATAAAGTCAGTCATCTACTGTAGTTTATGTAGTATGTTTCTCAATTCCCCTGCATTAGTTTGCAGTGTTGGATTTTAAGACTTCCTATCATGGCACATTACTGTTTGTTTCCTAAAATTCCTTAATATTTGCCTCTTGAAATCTGATACCAGATGCAACACTTCTGTGAATCCATGCTCACTTTCCTTATGGTAAATTTTAATATCATATACTGCTGCATGAGTCAAATTGGCATTTCATACAACTGAAAGGTTGTTACACTGATAGTAGCTAAAATAGTTTCCTCTTGCTTTAAAAGAGAGGCAGTATCTACGTGCCTCCTGTTGAATCTTGAGCAAGCAGAGTTTTTTTTCGTTCCTTCTTTTGAATCCACAGCTATGACGTGGGTAGCTCAGGCCAGTAGATGAACTGCTACCCTCTAAGACAGGTCCTACTTGTTCTGTCCAAATTCTGCAAAGGAAACACTCCACAAAAGAAACACTGATGTATCAGCACCCTGGCAATTACCTTCCCTCACTGGTAGTCAATTCAGATACCAGTCCTGTTCAAGTACATTTTTTCGGTGTCAGAACCCGAGCTGACAGCTCTTTGGGAATTTACAAAGGAAATCTGAAGAGAAATGTTGGAGCTGTCCACTAACATCCTAATTAGCAACTCTCTTGTGGTGATAGACTATGAAGATGGCTTACTGTGCTTTGATACATGAACTATCAGGATCTCAGTAAGATGGCAGTATTTTTTGCTTTCTGCCATTAATGAGCAGATCATAGAGAGAATAAATTCCTCTTTGGTATTCATCAAGCTAGATCATAATCTAAATTGACTGTGGTCGTTCCAGTGACGCTTGGTTCTTTCCAGTGTCCTGTTAACTCCACTAGTTCTGGTTTTAGATATGTTCTGGGCAAGTTTGGACGAACTGAAGATGTCTTCATATGCTCAAAGGGTTGGGTGATTCATGAGGAATATGTCTGTTTCCTGGTCCTGAGATGATGAGGCTAGCATGCTAAATAGGAAAAATGTGAATTTGGAGAGTTGACCGTAAAATTCGTAGGGCTTAATAACGTCTGCCCCAAGTGTCAGTATAGATAGCTTGAAGACATTGGTAGTCATCAGCTGGATGGTGCTTGGAATCACAAAGGATATTCAGTACTTGGCATTTGCTGGATGGAATTTGCCAACTGTTTTTGAATATCAATATCAGTTTCTCAAAACTAATAGCTCTGCTACTTACTAGTCTTTGACCCTTCTGCTGGTTTGGAGACTCTGGCTTTTTTATTTCAGTACGGTAAAATACACACCATCAAGAGACTAGAGGGAGTTGTTCTTGAGACACATTTATAAACTGCACAGAATAGCCTCATGTATTGATTCTAGGAAAGTTCTTCCACAGCTGTTGGCAAAGTCTTCTCATCTGCTGGGGAGAATAACTTCCAGCTTCCTTTACTTACTTCTGACATCTTGATGACCAGACTAAATGCAGTCAATTTAGAAAATGGACTGCTCCAGAGTCCGGTTCTCTCTCTCTAGTTCTCCATCCTTTTCTGTTGTGGCCCTATGTGGAGTTTGGGTCTGGACAA